CACCTCCGGGACCCGTGGTACCAGCTCCCTCGGCAGCAACGGAACCTCCAGCACCCGCAGTACCCCCAGCTCCAGCAGCTCGCCTCCAGCGCCGGGCAAACCACTCACGCAGCTCCAGAGGAGAGAGCGGCTCGCGGCGCGAAGAACGGTCTGGAGAACCACCACGAACAGAAGCAGCAGGCGCAGCACTCCCAGACGCAGAACCCCCAGTCTCAGCACCCCCAGGCACAGCACCCCCAGGCTCAGCACCCCCAGGTTCAGTACCCCCAGGCTCAGCACCCCCAGTCTCAGCACCCCCAGGCTCAGTACCCCCAGGCTCAGCACCCCCAGGCTCAGCACCCCCAGTCTCAGCACCCCCAGGCTCAGCACCCCCAGTCTCAGCACCCCCAGTCTCAGCACCCCGAGGCTCCGCACCCGCAGCAGCACCAGAGTCACCAGTGACCTCGACAGGCTCGACCGCGTCTACTTGAGACACACCTGAAGGGGCAGGACCCTGAGGGGGGAGGGGGTCTACCGGGGGGGGACCTGGGACCAGGAAGAGGGGCGGGGGGGGGAGGGACGGAGTGTGGTAGGGGAAGAGCCGGTAGAAGGGAACCGACTCGTCGAACGTGACGTCCTGGGAGGACAGAACACGACGAGAGGTGGGGTGGTAAAACTGCCACCCAGGTGCGTCAGGGGGGAAACCCAGGAAGACGCAAGGAGCAGCACGAGGGGACAGCTTGTCCGCAGACAAGTCGCAAACAAACGCCCGAGATCCCCAGACCCGGAACGCCGACGCATCGCCAACCTTCCCCGTCCACAGCAAAGCTGGGGAGGTCTCCGGTCTGGAGACCCTGGGCTGAAGGTTGATCTGATGTGCGGCGTACCGAACCGCAAACGGCCACAGAAAATGGGGGGCAGCCGCATGCACCATGGACGTACGGGCGACGTCCATGACAATGCCGATGCGGCGCTCAGCAATCCCATTCTGCTGTGGAGAGTCCGGAAGCGTGAAGGTCTGGCGGATGCCTCGTGCCCGACAGTAGGCTCGCAGAAGGCCGGAGGAGAACTCTCCGCCTCTGTCCGAGTGCAGACGCAAAACAGGAAAGTCCGAGCCGAAGCTCCGCCTGAGCTGGAGACGAGCTGCGCGGATCCAGTCGATCAACACCTCTGTGACCTCACCCTTGCTGCGCAAGGGGAAGACTGTGGTGTAACGCGAGTAGTCGTCAACCACCAGCAGGAAGTAGCGCTCGTGACCCTGTCCACGGACGCGGGCTGGGCCCCACACGTCCATGTGAAGCGTCTGCATCGGGGCCTCTGTCAGAGGAAACGGGGAGGAGTGAGGGGTAGCCCGCAGGCGACCCTCGACACAGGGGACACAGGGAGGGCCAGGCCCCGGAGGAAGGGGAGGGAGGGACCGGGGAAGGCCAGAGACAAGAAGGCGAGAGGCCATGCCCCGGAGACGAGGCAGGGAGGGGTGACCCATCCTATGGTGCCACAGGAGGGTCTCGTGGGACAGGAGGCGACAAGAGCAGGGGGCAGACTCAGGACCAGACCTGGACGCTGCAGCAAACACCTGACCCGACGCAGCTACCTGACCAGACGCAGGAGGAGGAGACGGAACAGTGAGTGTGTACAGGCTCGACCCCGGCCCACGTGTGAACGTGGTCAAGTGTCGACCCGTGTCCGCGTCTGTGCAGTGGGTGTCCCGTCGGCGTGCAGGGGTGAACTGGTCGACCCCTGCATCCTGTAGGTCAGCACCCGCCACCAAGTTCGTAGAGAACAAGGGGAGGTAGAGACCGGACAGGGCGCCAGACGGGACCGCAGGGCACGGCAGGACAGTGGAGTAGCGAGCCAGAACAGGACCCCCAGAGGGGTCCGCCAGGGAGACCGCCACTGGCCGACTAAGCGGCGTGAGTGTGGTGCGGTCTCGAAAGAAGGAGCGAGACGCCCCTGAGTCAAGAGTAAAGGTGAGAGAGGGCGGAGCCGACGCAGTACCTGAGAGAGCAGACTCACCAGCACCTGAGGACACAGACTCACTGGCACCTAGAGCGACAGCCTCACCAGCACCTGGAGCAGCAGCCTCAACAGCACCTAGAGCCGCAGTACCAATGCCCGGGTCGGGCGGGAAACACCGGTAACATTCACCCTCCTCACTAATAGTCACAGCATACATGGCAGCAAGAATAGCATCAAAGTCAAGATCAAAGATAGCTACTCCTGCCCTAGACAGCTGGTCCCAGCGAGGGATCTCAGAGGCGTCAGGAAACTGGCGGCGCCAAGCGTCAGTCAGGCGGCCGAAGCAGCGCTGGGCGGGGTGTGGACCACCACACGGCTCACCCGCACGGTCGCCCGTGCGCAAGACGTAGGTGCACGGACCAGTACCCCCACCCCTCTGACGTGCAGCGTACCACTCACGGAGCTGCTGCGGGGAGAGGGTCTCCTGACCACGCTGCTGCCGCTGCTGTTGGCGCTGACCGCCACCGGAGCCACTCCTCTGCGACGAGCCACGACCTCCTCCGCCGCCTCCTCCGCCGCCGCCGCCACCACCTCCGCTGCCACCGCCACTCCCACCGTCGCTGCCGCCACCGCCGCCTCCGCCTCCACTCCCACCACCACCGCCGCTGCCACCCCCGCCTCCACTGCCGCCGCTAACACCTCCACTCCCGAAACCACTCCCGCTACCACCCCCACCTCCTCCGCTGCCTCCACCGCCGCTCCCACCGCCCCCGCCGCCTCCACCACCGCTCCTGCCCCCTTTGCCCTTGCCAGAGCGACGTCTCCCACTGGGGGCAGACGCCGCACCGACCGACTCAAAACCAACTAGGTCGGCCGTAGCAGCAGAGGCGACAGAGGGCAGGAGGGGGGAGGGGGAACACCCCTCAAAGATGGGGGTGCGCGGGTCACCACGAGAGGCCCCTACAGCGAGAATGCTCTTCTCGGCTGCTAGGAGGGACTTCTCGAGGAGGTTAACAGTGAGAGTGGTGGGGCAGACTGAGAGTAAGTCGTCCCTGACTCCGCGGAGGGAGTCAGGGAGGCGGGTGACAATGTAGTAGAGAGTGAAGTACTGGGGGGGGGGGTTCTTGGCGCAGAACTCAGCAGGAAGCGCAGCGCGGAAGCGAGCGTCACTAGTGCGCAGGTGGGTAATGAGGTCGGCGACTGTGGCAAAAGAAGCAAGGTCGGGAAAGAGGTACGGTAGCATGAGGCGGCTCAGTGCAGCAGTGGCAGGGGTGGAGTAGCGTGCAATAACGGCGTCGTACAAGGTCTGAGCACTCTTGTACGACCCAAAGTGTGCACGCTCAGAGGGAGGGAGGTGGCGACGCACAGCAAGACGTGCAGCAGCATCGCGTGTGGCCCACACTGAGCGAACAGTGGCATCCTCAGTAGCAGCAGGGGCGGGAGAGGCACCAGAAGTGAGATCAAAGAGAGAGAGGCCGTCAGCTCTGTCGCACTGTAGGAAAAGCAGTAGGTCGTCTACCCACACGTCAAAGTCGATGGCTCTGCCCTCAGCGTCGAAGGTGAGGACACTGGGGGTAGCCATGACAGCAGTGGGGTAAGGGCAGTGCGCAGAGTAAAGCTCAGTGCTCACCAGACAGGGCAGTGCAGGCGGCTCGGGCGGCTCGGGCGGCTCGGGCGGCTCGGGCGGCTCAGCTGCTGGGGCGGCTCGGCTGCTGGGGCGGCTCGGCTGCTTGGGCGGCTCGGTTGCTGGGGCGGCTCGGCTGCTGGGGCGGCTCGGCTGCTGGGGCGGCGCAGTTGCTGGGGCGGCGGGGCCGGGAGATGCAGCTGCGGGGCCGTTAGGGGTAGTGGCGGGGCCGGTAGGTGAAGCGGCGGGGCCGTCAGGTACAGCAGCGGGGCCGGCAGGTGAGACGGCGGGGCCTGCAGATGCAGCAGCGGGGCCGTCAGGGGTAGCGGCGGGGCCGGTAGGTGCAGTGGCGGGGCCGTCAGAGGGGACGGCGGGGCCGTTAGGTGCAGCGGCGGGGCCGTCAGAGGGGACGGCGGGGCCGTCAGGTGCAGCGGCGGGGCCGTCTGAAGCAGCGGCGGGGCCGGCAGAGGGGACAGCGGGGCCGTCGGGTGCAGCGGCGGGGCCGGCAGAGGGGACGGCGGGGCCGTCAAGCGCAGCGGCGGGGCCGGCAGAGGGGACGGCGGGGCCGTCAAGCGCAGCGGCGGGGCCGGCAGAGGGGACGGCGGGGCCGTCAAGCGCAGCGGAGGGGCCGGTAGAGGGGACGGCGGGGCCGTCGCAGGCGATCGCGGGGCCGTCAGAGACGGCGCCGGCGTCGCGAGGGTCAGAGGGGGGGCGGCGCGCGACTGGAGGGCGGCACGCGCGACGCGGCGCGGCCGTCTAGGGGCGGCGCGACGAGGCCGCGTAGGTGGCGCGTCAAAAATTCGCGGGCGGCTCGACGCGATCGGGCCGCCAAAGGAAAAAAAGGCCCAGCGCGACTCGGGCTAGGGCAGAGCGCGCTCTGGGCAGGACGGAATAGTAGGTGGGCCCTAGGAACAGTTCCCACTAGGGAACCTGCTCGATACCATGTTGAGATAGAGGCGAGGAATGTGTGCACTATGAAATGAAACAAGTACAAGTACCAACCCTAATTGGGTTGTACCCCCTATGGGGTACCCCACTACAGCCTAAATATATGCATCAGTAATATAATCATCTGACACATATATGTATACGCCATAAATGTACTTCCCACAATCTTTCACAATGCCAACAACCATATGCATGAAAGGGGGATTGCTCCAAGTGTTAAAGGAGATGGATAGGATAACGTGGAGATGAGATGCTTATGCGCCCATCTACCCACGCATTGTACCGTACTAATTTTACCCCGTTAGTGCAATACTCTTTACTTGTTGCCGTTGAATACATACAAAAGAAGCTACACAATTGATTACACATTCTTCACTTGACAGCATCTGTTGTGAGCAAGTCAGCAAAACGTTTTGCAATCTTAATACGGTCAGAAGAAGTATGCGCCGTATGCACAGCAATCTTTTGGTCACTCATAACCCTATCCCTGTCAGAATCGAGTAAGTTGTTCGCTGAACAGATCAGTAGAGCCACGCACATCCAAGCTGATCCCATGACAGGAGGCAACAGGGGGGTGGAAGAGAGATGGCAGAGCACCAGAGGAGAAGGGCTGCTGCAGCACGGCACGGCGCGGCAGTATGGGGGCTTGCATGTGCGAGCCCCTTGGGTTTGAGGCCGTGTAAAGGCCATTGGCGGCGCCTGGGGCCAGTGGAAGTTGACAAGGCACTCTCAGCCATGGCGTTGGTGGCAGTGGCAGTGGCAATGGCTGTGGTTGTGGCTGGTGCGGTGGCAGTGAGACAATTTGCTCAAGCTCTAAGTGCTGACGAGCACTCCACTGCGCAAGCGTGACCTCTTGGGTGAGAAACTGCTGCTGGCGACTTCCCTTCGCGGTCACTCCTTGCTCCACCGCCCACTCTGACAGGGCAGTCCCAGCAGCACCTGTGGCTGTCCCAGCAGCGCAACGGGGTGCAGGCCCCTGAGACTGAGGCCCACTGGGCAAGAGCAAGGCGAGGGCACTCCCACTCAGTAGCACATGAACAACAGGCGTGTTGAGAAAGAGAGCACCCTTGTCCCTGTCACTGTGGTTTTCAATGCCCCCGTTGTCAGCGCCGTTGCTGTTGTTGTCCGTGTTGCTTCCGTTCCAGAGCGCGTCAATGCATGCATCAACGTATTCCAGCTCCTGAGTGCCACACGTACTCCCCGCAAGCATCGCTGCAATGCAACCGCTCGTGCTGCCGGGAGCGGAGGCACAAAGAGCAGCGGGTGCGCGTGGCTGGGTGGGCGGAGGAGCAGAGAGAGCAGCACGTTGTGCGGAGGCAGGGCCCTTGCAGCATAGTCCCAGCAGCACGTCGTCTAGAAGGGCACTCTCCGACCCAATGCGCGGCCACTCCACCCGCTGCAGTGTGGAACCATTCCCAATGCAGGGGGCGGAGCCAGACAGAGCAGCGAGTTTGGGGAGCAGTGCTAATGGCAGCGCTGTGAGTGGCTGGGTTGGCAGAGGAGCAGAGAAAGCGGTGCCTTGCATGAAAGCAGGGTCCTCACGGCTGAGTCCCAGCAGCACGTCGTTTGGAAGAGCACTCTCCGACCCAACGGGGGGCCAGTCCACCTGCTGCATTGTGAAATCCTCAATGCAGGGAGCGAAATCCTCAATGCAGGGAGCAAAATCCCCACACCAGGTAGTGGAATCACCATTGCGCGGAGTGGAGCCGGGCAGAGCAACGAGTTGGGAGGGCGGAGAAACAGATAGAGCGGCGCGTTGCGTGAAGGCAGGGACCCCATTGTTAGATTTTAGCAGCACGTCGTCTGGAAGGGCACTCTCCGACCCAACGCGCGGCCACAGCACCCGCTGCGCCCTGCTACCCGCTCCTCCTTGCTGCTGCTGGCGATGCTCCTCCTGCAGCAGCGCCTCCAGAAGGGCTGCTTCCTCTTTCTCCTGCACGCGCCTGCTCGCCCCCTGCTGCTGGAACTGATCTGCCACTGACTGACGCCGGCGCTCCGTGCCAAACGCCACCCCGCCTCGCACCACCCAGCTCCCGTTTCCCCCACGCACCGGTTGGCCTACCGTCAGCCCAGGAGTGTCGCCCCGTGGTCGCTTCGCTGGGCGATGCAAAGCAGCGGCGGTGGAGGCAGCAGGAACAGGGACGGCATGACGGGCGAATGGGCACTCCGTGGTAGACGCGACAGCCGCAGAGAAGGGGGCAGCTTGGGAAGCAGGAGGAGGAGCTTGGGAAGCAGGAGGAGGAGCTTGGGAAGCAGGAGGAGGAGCTTGGGAAGCAGGAGGAGGAGCTTGGGAAGCAGGAGGAGGAGCTTGGGAAGCAGGAGAAGGAGCTTGGGAAGCAAGATGAGGAGCTTGGGAAGCAGGAGGAGGAGCTTGGGAAGCAGGAGGAGCTTGGGAAGCAGGAGGAGGAGCTTGGGAAGGACGAGGAGGAGCTTGGGAAGCAGGTGGAGGAGCTTGGGAAGCAGGAGGAGGACCTTGGAAAGCAGGAGGAGGAGCTTGGGAAGCAGGAGGAGGAGCTTGGGAAGCAGGTGGAGGAGCTTGGGAAGCAGAAGGAGGACCTTGGAAAGCAAGGGGAGGGGTGGCGAAGAGGGATGAGAGGTTGGGTGGGGCGGGTGGGAGGCAGCAGCGAGCATGGGGGGCGAGGAACGCCGTCACGCACTCCTCATACGACAGCCCTCCGAACGCCAGGGCTGCTGCTCCCACGCCCTCCGAATGCTCCGACTGCTGCTGCTTGAGATCTTGACAGAGCAACGACTGTCTGTGGCCGTCCAATGGATTGTGCTGCGGGAGTGCAGCAGCTCCCAGGTGCTTTCGCAGGAAAATCTGGCAAAAGCGGTCTGTGAACTTCCTGCCACCAGCACACGGCCACAGGAGAGAAGAGGCGTCGTGGAAGGCTGAGGCGTGTTAGAAATGCTCACGGGTATCAAGACGCCTGGATTCAGAAAACCACAAATGTGGCATGAAGCATGGGTTACCTTCGGAGGAAGATGTAACGGTTACAGCACGACTTGTTGCTCCTCTTGAGCTGACCGCTCCTCCCCAGCTCGCCCCACTGCTTCGTGTCGCACTGCAGCGCGTGGCGCAGCAGCACCGCGTCCTCCTGCCCACCCAGTGCGCAGCGGAGGGAAAGACAGAGCGAGTGCGGCATTCCCATGATGAGCGGCATTGGGGTGTGAATGCTGACATAACAGGGGAAATGCTAAATTGATTTCTGAATCCCATTTCAAGCCTAGAATCCGGTGGATCTTGAAATCTTCCGGACGCACCCCTCGCCGCGACCGCCTCTCGCAACCCACCTCTGGAGACCCACCTCTGGCGACCATGGCTGCATGCCGGGCGAGGAGGATTGAGATTGCGAGGTCGGGGAGTCAACGGCTTCAGAGGAATGCGGCATAACGGCTATAACGCCTCGCTGAGCCAAAACGAGGTTGCTCTTTAGGCGCAGCGGATGCCTTAACACTAGCCCAGCCCATAGTGCAACGGTTGCAACAGCGGTCGAGCTGCTCGTGATAGCGGTGGTAGTAGTGCTGGTTTTCAGACATGAAAGCTAACTGACGAAAGCATGACTTTGAGTCTCGCAAGACTCTATCCCTCTTCAAGAGGGAATGGAGCGACGTCATCGACCCATGCACAAAGCCCAAGCGTGATTGTGGGCAGGGGATCAGGCCCGGGCTCTGATTGTGCGCCTGTTTGATGATGCCGCCTCGCGCGACAGGGTTTCTTCTTGACTTGGCATGCGAGGGATGCTTTCTCGCCGCATTTCTTCGTCAAACGCGCGCAGCTGGCGACTCGCGTGGAAGGAGGTGTGCGACGGAGTGTAGCTGGAAGGTGGTGATGCGATGCGATGCGCGCGCAAGGATGTCGCGGTGAAGTGTGGCCAAGTGGGTTGACGAGAAGGGGTACCGGTAATCATTGCACTCGCTTAGTTGTGGCCTGATGTCCGACATTTCCGGACGTGAACCCTCCAATAGGAGGAGGCGACCTGATATTTAATAATATAAAGCACACTAGCATCTGATGATCCTCTCGAAATCGGCCTGTCACATGCGTGTGGAATGGCGGGGGCCGTCTGTGATACGAGGCATGTGAACACCGGCCAGCGGTGAAAACTGTCCATACGTTGGCGTTTCGTTCGAAATCGGGTAGTGGATAGAGACAAACGACGCCGCTGGCTGCAGCTGCCAGCTCCTATCGGCCTCCCGGCCAGCTCGCACATCCAATCCAGGTGCACTGCACACCGGCGGAAGGGGAAGACATTGTTGACCTGGCAAGCAACTGCTACTGAATGCCGCAACACGAGCAAGACTGAAGGAGGAGCCGATACTATCTTGGGAATTATGGCGTGCAATACAGGCAGTCAGGGGCTAGGCGAACGCTGCGCAGGACTCATGTCTGCCGCTCGTCAGCAGCACCAGCCAAGTGGAGGTGTCTGCTATGCCTACCTCTTCCCGAGAATGAAGGTCACCTTTCTGGCCAATGTGAGAGTGGTGGTGGGTGCTCGCATGGGGTTTGAACATTTATTTCTCAGCGCAGCGCACCGCACTGTACTGTACACTACCATGTCAACTTGGAGCCAACAAACTCTTTTCGTTCTTGCTGCGAACAGTACCAACCCTCCAACGTCTTCCCTCTAACGAATGCAGGAAATATGCTGCGGAATGCCTCGGCACGCCCTAGTGCACCGGGTTTTGAAACCTGAGATGTAGGGGTGGTGTCAAACTATGTTTGTATCGATTTAGATATGCTGTAGTGGGGTGCATCTTAGGGGGTACAGAAAATCTCTTCTTGTACCCCCCCTCCTTACCCTAAGGATCAATCTCTGTAGTATCTCAGTCTCTGAGAGGTGGCAGAGAGATGGTAGAGCACCAGAGGAGAGGGGCTGCAGCAGCATGACAAGGCATGGCAGTAAGGGAGCTTGCATGTGCGAGCCCCTTGGGGTTGAGTTGAGGGCGTGTACCGTACTACAGGCCATTGGAGGCACCGGTGCGGGACTTGAGTTGCGGTCATGCTTTAAGGTTTGTGATTCAGGCAGGTGACTCTATCCCTACCAGCTCAGCATCAGCACATGGGCCTGCGGTTGGGCACTGCGAATCCGCAGGGGCCTCCGAAACAACGGTCCAGGAAAGTGAATGTGACGTGGATATTACTGTTAAGATAAGGAGCTTAGGGTTTAGGACTTAGGCGTAGGATGGTATCAAGAGGGAGAGAAGATTGGCCAAAGAGAGAGGGTTTCATTATGAGATTGGGAGTACAAATAGGAAGAAGGGGAAGGGGAAAGGGTACACCACCAGCAGTTGGTATCTAATAACTAATCTAGTACACTAGCTAACTGTAGGCAGTTATAAGGTATGCAAATACAATTCAACAATTACGACTGTTAGAAGCAATTGCCAGGTAAAAACATACAATGTTACATTACAAAGTCAGAAGGCACAACTATACCAGTAGTATTAGCCTCAGTTTAGCAACTCAGTGTCAAAGACAGAATGCTGTGCATTCTTAGAATGACGAACGAACATGTGTGTATACTGGGATGAAGCCTGGAGGCATCCCATCTGGAAGAACGGCTGTCTGTGAAGTCCAAGTGCTCAAGGACAACATTCTTGTTGTAGTCAATCATTACCCCATCCCCGTTAGTGTCAAATTCGTTCCTCCTTGAAAAGATTAGTCGAGTCGGGCAGCGCACGCACACCCAAGCTGAGCTCATGACCAGCTGTGGCATTCAGGGCATGCCGTCGCCTCCTCATGTAACGGTCATGCCAGGCAACGGAGGAAGTAAGGGGCTGCAGAGAGCCAGTAAATCACCACCAGTGGGGATGGGCTGCAGCACGGCCGGGCGTGGCTGTATGGGAACTTGCAAGTGCAACCCTCTTGGGGTTGAACGCACATTCAATGGAGACCTTGGATGTTGAGAAGGCACAGACAGCCAAGGCGCGTGTGTCGGTAACTGTAAGAGTGGCTTTGGGAGCAGCTGTGGCGGTGGCTGTGACTGCAGCTGTGGCTGTGACTGCAGCTGTGGCTGGTGCGGTGGCAGGGAGAGCATGCGGTCAAGCTCAAGGTACTGACAAGGCTTCCACTGCGCAAGCACGCCCTCCTGGGTGAGAAACTGCTGCTGCCTGTGCCCCTTGGCGACTCCCTCCCCGACCGCTCCCTGCTCCTCCGCCCACTCTGGCAGGGCTGTGGCAGCAGCACGTGGGATGGCAGGCCCCTCAGCCTGAGGTCCACTCGCCAAGGGCACGGCGAGGGCACTCCCACCCAGCAGCACGTGAGCCACGGGCGTGTCGAGAAAGAGCGCACCGTTGTCCCTGCCACTGTGCTTGTCATTGTTGTCAGTGTTGGTTATGTTGCCGAGCACGTCAAAGCATGAATCCAGGTATTCCTGCTCCTGCGTGCCACAGGTACTCCCGGCAAGCATCGCTGTAACGTGCCTGCTCGCGCTACCACGAGCGGGGCTAGGGAGACCAGCGAGCGGCGAGGGCATCGGTGCTGCGAATGGCTGGGCGGGTGCAGGAGCAGACAGAGGAGAACGTTGCGCAGAGGCAGGGTCCTCGCAGCAGAGTCCCAGCAGCACGTCGTCTGGAAGGGCACTCTCTGACGCAACGCGGAGCCACTCCTCCTGGTGCACTGCGAAATCCCCAATGCAAGGAGCGAAATCCCCAAAGCAAGGCGTGGAATTGCCAAAGCAGGGAGCGGTGCCAGGCAGAGCAGCGACCTGGGAAGGCATTGACGCTGCCAGTGCTTCGTGCGGCTGGGTGGGCGGAGGAGCAGACGGAGCAGCTCGTTGCCTGGAGGCAGGTTTGTCACTGCTGCACCCCAGCTGCACGTCGTCTGGAAGGGCACTCTCCGACCCAACGCGTGGCCACAACACCCGCTGCACCTTGCTACCCACTCCTCCCTGCTGCTGCTGGCGATGCTCCTCCTGCAGCAGCGCCTCCAGAAGGGATTCGTCCGCTGCCTGTGCGCGGCTGCTCGCCCCCTGTTGCTCAAACAGCTCTGCCACTGACTGAAGGCGCTCCGTGCTTCGCAACACCCCGCCTCGCACCAACTTCCTTGGCACGAAGCAGCTCTCGCGCCCTCCGAGCAGCGGTTGCTGTGCCCCAAGCGTGGGGGAGTCGTCCCTTGGTCGCTTCAGCGCACGACGCGGAGCAGCATTGGTGGCAGCAGCAACGGGATGGGACACTGGAAACTCGGCAATAGAAGCAGCCGCAGTGGCAGAGACGCTGGCGGCTTGGGAGGCAGGGGGGCTGGCGAGAGAAGAGAGGTTCAGTGAGGGTGCTTGGCGGCAGCAGCGTGCGTTGGGGGCAAAGAAGACGGCCGTGCACTCATCAAACGACAGCCCTCCGAACGCGAGAGCAGCTGAACCCACGCGCTCCGGGCTCTGCTGCTGCTGCTGCAGGAAATCCCGACAGAGCAGCTGCGAACTGTCTCCGTCCAATAAAACGCCCTGGAGGAACGCAGCACCTCCCAGGTGATTTCTCAGGAAGCTCTCGCGAAAGTGCTGAGTGAACTTCCTGCCATCAACGCACGGCCACAGAGCAGAAAGGCTGAGGTGTTACGAAAGGCGGAAGTGTGTTAGAAACGCTCACGCGTATCAAGAAACCTGAGCTCAAGAAATTATGCATGCGGCATGAACGGTTACTACCTTCGGAGGAAGATGTAACGGTTACAGCACGACTTGTTGCTCCTCTTGAGCTGACCGCTCCTCTCCAGCTCGCCCCACTGCTTCGTGCCGCACTGCAGCGCGTGGCGCAACAGAACGGCGTCCTCCTGCCGTGAGAGTGAGGGAGGGTGACAGCATTGCCATCATGAGCAGTGAGCGTAAAGACCGCGGCGGCCCAAGGCACACTAAGCGTGTTCTACGCACTGGTATTTAAATCGCTCAACATAGCAAGGAAAATCGGAGGGCTTGAGAGATTCTCCTCTGAACACTCTTTTCGCGACCCACCGCCTCTCGCGACCCACCTCTCGCGACCATGGCTGCATTCCGAGCGGCGACGAGGGTTGCGAGACCGGCGGTGAGTCAACGGCTTCAGATGAATGCGGCATGGCGACCAAACTGCGGTTCTTGAAAGCGGTACACCACGGTGTTCGAATGGGTCAGCAGTCACGAGAGTCCAGGACAATCTAGCAAGAAATTAACTTTACTAGATAAACCGTCTCTTGAAAGAAAGGTGAAACCCGGATAATCTTGTATCTATCGACCTTGGTTCAAACCTGGCCCACGGAGCGAACGACCTTTGCGGGTCAGTATGGACGAGCAGCAACGCATGCACGAGGCCTGATTGTGGGCTAGGGTCCACCATTGGCCCTCTTTGATTCTGCCGCTTGCCAACAGGGCTGAGTCTTGACCGCAGCAGTGGAATGCCCCTTATGGCACTTCCCGACGCAACCAGCGAGGCTTCGAGTCGCGCGGCATCAGAAGGTGTGCGATGGGAGGACAACAGTGGAAGGGGTGCGAGAGAGGAGGATGCTAAGTGTGGGCCAAGTGGCACCAACGACGAGGGCATGGAATGAACGTAATTATTGCTGTGGCTTGAAGTATGTAGCCTGCCCGGCCGGCACCTCACATTCAAAACCCCTCCGCTACAAGGAAACAACGAGCACAGTATTAGTACATCAGAAAAATGTGAAACTGCCGAGTATGGAGGGGGGGGGGGGGGGGGGGAGGGGGTCATTTTTCGAGTTGGAGGCTGATGGTTTTCCATCGTTTATGAGGTGATATCTGGTGCACCGTTTTCCCCTGCAGTTTATCATCGTGTATGACGAGGAATTGCAGCAGATTGTCGAAGCCCCTTCGTGTTTTCCCCTTCTTGCCCCCGTTTATCTCTGTTTGCAGACGCGCACTGTACACGTGGAGGACAAATCGTGGTTGGTGGTGGTTTACGCAGAGTTTCCGGTTGCGTGGTTACGAGCGTTTTCATTGGTCGTTTTGAGGCTGGGCTGAAATTGCGATAGATTGCGGGATGTCTGGAGCGTGTGCCACACACTGGTTGTCCTTTGGCGAGGAACCGTTTGTGGTGTGCAGGCCACGTCATGGAAGTGAAGGTTACCGCTATGTAACCAATTTCGAACAATCCAAACACAGCTTTGTTTCTGTTATGTATTTCATGTAATGGAACTAATTTCATACTGTTGGATTTGGTAGTAATTATGCAACAGAATGTTGGATTCAACTCCAGACTTAAACCTATCCACCTCTTAACCGATGCTATTGTATAAACTAGGTAAGGTATTTGGGCGGGAAAAGTTAGAAATGTTTGGCAACGGCAGAACATGTTGTCGATTCAATGTCTCGTTGTTTATTTTACCTCTATTTCTTCACACAGTTACAGAATACATCCTTTTCCCTACCCATAGGAACTGGTTTAACCGCGTTCGCACAACTACGCAGCATGTTGCGCATGTTTGTGCGTTTGTTGACCTGAATCTGTGCAAGGATAGACATGTGTGCAACATGTCACTGCGCCGACGTCTGGATGTCTTTTTTTACCACTATTTCTTCACACTGTTCTCTACAACATCCTATTACCTAGCCATAGAAACTGGTTTGACCTCGTTCGGACAATTACGCAGCACGTGGGGCTTGTTTGTGCGTTTGCTGGCCTGAATCTGTGCAAGGATAGGCCAGTGCGCAACATGTCACGGCGCCAACGTCTGAATGCCTTTTTTACCACTATTTCTTCACACTGTTCTCTAGTAAATCCTATTCCCTAGCCATAGGAACTGGTTTGATCTCGTTCGGACAATCACGCAGCACGTGGTGCTTGTTTGTGCGTTTGCTGGCTTGAATCTGTGCAAGGATAGGCTTGTGCGCAACATGTCACTGCGCCGACGTCTGGATGCCTTCACAATGTTCTTTATTAAATCCTATTCCCTAGCCATAGGAACTGGTTTGACCTCGTTCGGACAATTACGCAGCACGTGTCAGATTATCATAGCTGATGCATGTTTGTAGGCTATAGTGGGGTAGCACATATGGGGTACAGCTTTCTAGGGTTGTATTTGTACCCAACTCTGACTTAGTCATTCTCATTCCTGCTTACACATTTCACATGGTATAGAGCGGGTTCCCTGTGGAACTCTGCCTAGGGCCCACCGAAGCGCGCCCCGAGGCGCGCTCAACTTTTTTTTTCCGCTATCGAGCGACCCTCCGTGTCGCCTCCCTCCCACACGCGGCCCAGCCGCCCGCTAAGTCGCGGCCCCAGCCGCCCGCTACGATCGCGGCCCCAGCCGCCTGCTCGACGCGGCCCCCAGCCGCCTGCTCGACGCGGCCCCAGCCGCCTGCTCGACGCGGCCCCCAGCCGCCTGCTCGACGCGGCCCCCAGCCGCCTGCTCGACGCGGCCCTGCCGCCCGCTACGCCGCGGCCGCCGCCTGCTACGACCGCGGCCCCGGCCGCCTGCTACGACCGCGGCCCCCAGCCGCCTGTTCGACCGCGGCCCCGCCGCCCGCTCCTGTCGCGGCCCCCCAGCCGCCTGCTTGACGCGGCCCTGCCGCCCGCTACGCCGCGGCCGCCGCCTGCTACGACCGCGGCCCCGGCCGCCTGCTACGACCGCGGCCCCAGCCGCCTGTTCGACCGCGGCCCCGCCGCCCGCTCCTGTCGCGGCCCCCAGCCGCCTGCTCGACGCAGCCCCCAGCCGCCTGCTCGACGCGGCCCTGCCGCCCGCTACGCCGCGGCCGCCGCCCACTACGATCGCGGCCCCGGCCGCCTGCTACGACCGCGGCCCCAGCCGCCTGTTCGACCGCGGCCCCGCCGCCCGCTCCTGTCGCGGCCCCGGCTGCCTGCTCGCACGGCCTCGCCGCCCGCTACTACCGCGGCCCCAGCCGCCTGCTCGACCGCGGCCCCCCCACATTCAAAACCCCTCCGCTACAAGGAAACAACGAGCACAGTATTAGTACATCAGAAAAATGTGAAACTGCCGAGTATGGAGGGGGGGGGGGGGGGGGGAGGGGGTCATTTTTCGAGTTGGAGGCTGATGGTTTTCCATCGTTTATGAGGTGATATCTGGTGCACCGTTTTCCCCTGCAGTTTATCATCGTGTATGACGAGGAATTGCAGCAGATTGTCGAAGCCCCTTCGTGTTTTCCCCTTCTTGCCCCCGTTTATCTCTGTTTGCAGACGCGCACTGTACACGTGGAGGACAAATCGTGGTTGGTGGTGGTTTACGCAGAGTTTCCGGTTGCGTGGTTACGAGCGTTTTCATTGGTCGTTTTGAGGCTGGGCTGAAATTGCGATAGATTGCGGGATGTCTGGAGCGTGTGCCACACACTGGTTGTCCTTTGGCGAGGAACCGTTTGTGGTGTGCAGGCCACGTCATGGAAGTGAAGGTTACCGCTATGTAACCAATTTCGAACAATCCAAACACAGCTTTGTTTCTGTTATGTATTTCATGTAATGGAACTAATTTCATACTGTTGGATTTGGTAGTAATTATGCAACAGAATGTTGGATTCAACTCCAGACTTAAACCTATCCACCTCTTAACCGATGCTATTGTATAAACTAGGTAAGGTATTTGGGCGGGAAAAGTTAGAAATGTTTGGCAACGGCAGAACATGTTGTCGATTCAATGTCTCGTTGTTTATTTTACCTCTATTTCTTCACACAGTTACAGAATACATCCTTTTCCCTACCCATAGGAACTGGTTTAACCGCGTTCGCACAACTACGCAGCATGTTGCGCATGTTTGTGCGTTTGTTGACCTGAATCTGTGCAAGGATAGACATGTGTGCAACATGTCACTGCGCCGACGTCTGGATGTCTTTTTTTACCACTATTTCTTCACACTGTTCTCTACAACATCCTATTACCTAGCCATAGAAACTGGTTTGACCTCGTTCGGACAATTACGCAGCACGTGGGGCTTGTTTGTGCGTTTGCTGGCCTGAATCTGTGCAAGGATAGGCCAGTGCGCAACATGTCACGGCGCCAACGTCTGAATGCCTTTTTTACCACTATTTCTTCACACTGTTCTCTAGTAAATCCTATTCCCTAGCCATAGGAACTGGTTTGATCTCGTTCGGACAATCACGCAGCACGTGGTGCTTGTTTGTGCGTTTGCTGGCTTGAATCTGTGCAAGGATAGGCTTGTGCGCAACATGTCACTGCGCCGACGTCTGGATGCCTTCACAATGTTCTTTATTAAATCCTATTCCCTAGCCATAGGAACTGGTTTGACCTCGTTCGGACAATTACGCAGCACGTGTCAGATTATCATAGCTGATGCATGTTTGTAGGCTATAGTGGGGTAGCACATATGGGGTACAGCTTTCTAGGGTTGTATTTGTACCCAACTCTGACTTAGTCATTCTCATTCCTGCTTACACATTTCACATGGTATAGAGCGGGTTCCCTGTGGAACTCTGCCTAGGGCCCACCGAAGCGCGCCCCGAGGCGCGCTCAACTTTTTTTTTCCGCTATCGAGCGACCCTCCGTGTCGCCTCCCTCCCACACGCGGCCCAGCCGCCCGCTAAGTCGCGGCCCCAGCCGCCCGCTACGATCGCGGCCCCAGCCGCCTGCTCGACGCGGCCCCCAGCCGCCTGCTCGACGCGGCCCCAGCCGCCTGCTCGACGCGGCCCCCAGCCGCCTGCTCGACGCGGCCCCCAGCCGCCTGCTCGACGCGGCCCTGCCGCCCGCTACGCCGCGGCCGCCGCCTGCTACGACCGCGGCCCCGGCCGCCTGCTACGACCGCGGCCCCCAGCCGCCTGTTCGACCGCGGCCCCGCCGCCCGCTCCTGTCGCGGCCCCCCAGCCGCCTGCTTGACGCGGCCCTGCCGCCCGCTACGCCGCGGCCGCCGCCTGCTACGACCGCGGCCCCGGCCGCCTGCTACGACCGCGGCCCCAGCCGCCTGTTCGACCGCGGCCCCGCCGCCCGCTCCTGTCGCGGCCCCCAGCCGCCTGCTCGACGCAGCCCCCAGCCGCCTGCTCGACGCGGCCCTGCCGCCCGCTACGCCGCGGCCGCCGCCCACTACGATCGCGGCCCCG